TTATGGAGGGATGCAATCGGAGAGGCAATGCTGCCCTCTTCTGCTCTATACTTTGCAATTACGCATGGTTGAAAGATAGGATTTGTGGGTGGTTGGTAAATCCCAGACATGAAGAGCGGAGAAGCACATCTCAGAGTGGGTCACATACATTGACCTCATGTAACAGAATCCTTATAGTGCTGTGCAAAGACCTTCATGCAAGTATTGGTTCTTCAACTTTCATATAATTTTTGAATGTTAAAACTCATTGTTGGGATTTGAGGTGAAAGACTAAACAAAACGCATGACGGTGTATAAGGATCAATGTGGATAGAAAAAATATGGAGGAGAGAATTTCCACCCAAAAAGTCTCAGAAATAAGTTGGTTGGTCTGTCTGTCTGTCTATTTTTCAATTTATTTGTTGTCAATTTATTTTTCCTTGATATTTTCAAATGCTTTGTTCATACATATTTTTTCTTCATTCTTTTCACAGTGATCACATTTTGTATTTTGTTTTGTATAATTAAGTCTCGGTCTTGTAATTAATTATTAATATTTCCTCCTTTCTATTTCTTCTTCTAGTTCTCCTTTCTACGGAGCTCAATTGGTGGCATGGGAGAAAAACAAATACAGTGGTCACGACTTAATAACTCGTGAGAATGACTTGTTTAATTTGTGGGGAACACTTAATTATACCAAACAATGTGCACAGCTTGTTTTTCTGTTGTTCTTTTTTATTCATCCATGTCAACAGACATGGGTGAATATTTCATGTAATTGTTCCATGTCTGTCTTCTCTTCCCTTCTGAATTTCATAAAACCATCTTCCTTTACTTCTTTCATCAGTTTTTGGGGAGTTTGCTTGGTTTCACCATGAAGCTAACAGGATTTTGAATTTCTATATTTGACATCTTCTCTCACATCTTGTTTCCTTTAACTCCAACTTGTGCTGGTGCCCAAATATTAGTGTTAGAAAAATATATTGTATTTCAGATAATGTATGCAATATTTTAAATATAATGTCCGGCCTACTATCAGAGTAATTATGTTTTAAGTTTAATGATAGAGTTTGAATCTGAACAAATGATGGTTTTCAGTGTTTTCATATCTTCTGTATTGTACCGCCAACATCTCGCCTGCTCACAACAACAATCTATCTGTGACTTATTGCTCTATTTTTAAGTTTAATTTCAGTTCTGCTATGCTTTACCCTCTTCTTTCCTAGTCAAAGGGTTTTTGATAAAATGACTCGTTTGGTTTGCATTCTGCACGACAGTAAAATCAACCAGATAGGAGTGACAGTGGGTTGCTTCAGCATCCGTCGTTGCGGAAAGGGATGCTTTCGGAAGGTTCAGTCTGTGGTTGTAATGTGTCAAAAACATGCAAACGGGTCTGAATTCTTTTGCACAGCATTTTAAGTCTTATCATCAACTTACAGGATCCAAAATGTGTTGGAGGAAGCAAAAGGAATGTCTGTTTTTCTTCTAGGGAAGCGTCTTTAATAAAGGATCAGTCTGAAGCGCACTGAGAGCAGTCTGGGGTTGGTAGTCTTATGAATGCCTAACTGAGCAGAGACATCCAGCTGTAGTGGGCTGATGCTAAGGGGCTTTATTAGCTGGAGAGTTGAGCTGCGAGGTAGAACAGCTGTTGACAAAGCTCCTCTGTTCCTCTGCGGAGCTTCTTCTCCCTGAAAAAGACAGTGCAGTGGGGCTGAGGAGGAAACTCCCTTTACCACAGCCCTGCTATCTCTGTGGGAGTTCATTATACACAAAGACTGGCCACACACACACATGCACACACATACTAATTCATGAGCTGTGTGAGATTATTGCACATTCACCAACACTGGTGGGCAGATGTGCATTTCACCGCACCGTAAACTAACCACAGTGATTATTTCTGTGGACATCCCCCTTCCCCACCCATCCACACAGGCTCCCCGGCAGCCTTCCACCCACAACGCATCCACCCATGAGGTCTGGGTGTGGATGTAAAGGTTGAGGCAAGGAGCACCCACATGGCAGACATTACTATAAGGAAAGCCACAGAGGAGTCAAAGGGTCAGATGATGGCAGGGATAACACCGCTGTCACTTAGACCTCACACACAGAAGAGCTCCATCACTACACATTTCAATCCAAGTTTGAATGTAAGCCACTAACATGTTCATGAAGTGTTAGTTTACAAAGAAACGTCCTAGTGTCCAGTGGAAACTAGAACGTATTTTTTGTGATCTTGTTGCAGTTGGAATCTTTCTCCAAATGAAACAAGGTGTTCCACTAGGCTCAGGCTTAAATATCATGATTTTGTTTTATTTATACTTGCCATAATGACTAAAAAATGTATTGTCCTGTTCAAAGCTATGCTGATGATAAACAATTCTATGTTGCATTGGTCCACTTTTTGACCAAATTTTAAATACTTGGGTATGGATAGTTTAGATGTTTCTTCAGCTCAATCTGGACTAAACTAAAAAAAAATAAAAAATCTAAATTGGTTTAGACGTACGAGAGAGAGACTTTAAACACTGGTTATTGAAAAATAAATTAAAATATTAGGATGTTTTATTTACAGATAATCTCAGTTTAACATCAGATTAAAAATCCTCGCCAAACAGTCCAGAACAACTTCAGAAGAAATTAAACTCCAAGGTCTACTTCAAGACACACTATTGCTCACCATCCACTGTCACTGTCAGACTGCCCAGTCAGCTGTGGCTGCTGTCCCATAGCTTGCCACCATCAGCATGTGAATGTGTGTGTGAATGACTGATGGTATCGTGAAGTGTTTTGGAGACCTCTGGACTTGATAAAGTGCTATACAAGTACAGGCCATTTACCATCAATCAGCATTTGGGCCAAAGTGGAATTCATGGTGGACGACTTTGTTGAAAGCAAAGCATAAAAATCCAAGACCAGAATTTACCACAATGCATGTTGAAAAGCCACAAAGCTTCTGGGAGAATGTACTATAGACAGATGAGTCAGAACTGGAGCCTCTTTGGAAAGGCTCTTTGTTCACAGATGCAAAATGAAGCAGACCAAAAACAGAACACTGTCCGAAAGCATAGAGAAGGCTTGGTTCTGTTCTGTGGTTGCTTTACTGCAACTGGTAGAGTGACTTGAACAGTTGCATGAAAATGACCCTGATTCGATGATTTCTCAAGACTATCAAGGTGTTTTGGAGAGAAATATGCTAGTATCAGAATGCTTGGTCTCAGTCACAGGACATCGGTCTTCCAACAAGGTAAAAACCTGAAACAAACAACTCAAACTTCAATAATAATGAAGAGCTTTACTGGCCTTCTATGCGCCTTGATCTAAATCCTGTTGAACATCTGGAGAAGGTACCATTCAAACCTGAGGCCACTGGAGCAGTTTGTCCATGAGGAGTGGACCCTGAATACCTGTGGAAGTTTTGATTTCCTCAATGTCAAATACAAGTACAATCATTTTTGTTAAGTCATTTTTCATTAGATTGGTTTTTCTAATGGATCTGTTGGGACTACAAACCAAAAGCAATGTTTGATTCTCATTGGTTCATTTTCAGTAATTTTTTTAATTTATCATAAGGCTACTTTTGTCAGTTTCAATTCATTCCAGTGACCGTTGTGGCTCTTTGTTGATTCCTTTTGTCAACGAATTCACCCCATTTTTAAGTAAGTGGGGTGAATCTATACAAAGCTTTCCAGTCATACTGACCATGCAAAGAACATTACAACACTCACAAACACATTCAGGCACGGACTGGTAGGCAACTTGGGGTTAAGGGTCACCTCACTATTTGACAGGAAGAAGCTGTAATTGAACCCACGACCATCCAAATACAAGATGACTACTCAGTCCATAAAAAATTGTGTTTCATTCAAACGTGTTGAAACCCTAACTCTTCTGTCAAATCACCAACTGTTTTCCCCAAAACGCCGCATAGAAACCCGCTCCCAAGAACGAGGGACTTTTTTCTCCGTCGCCCGAATAGGACGCTGACATCTCCTCTGATTGTCTGACAAAGCGCCATGGCTGAATTATGAATATTTCATGTAGGCCTAATTGTTTACACCCGACGTTTCCATGACTTTGAACAAACCATGACCTGAGCAGGCTTATTCATATCATTTTATTTTCTTATTTAATGGAAATACCGCAATTACGAAATTGCATGTAATCGATATTAGCAGAAAAAGATTTTGTGCACATATGAAGTGAAAATGCAGCTGCTAAACTCGTGATGTCCATTCTAGATCTGTCAGCTCCTTGCAAATCAACCCATCTCTAACCTCCGTGTTCAGATTCAGTCAGTCAGCAGCCTCAAGTTCTGCTTTGACTTTCAAAGTCCAACAAGACCTGAGGGCTAAACTGCAGATGGCGTGTTTGTGCAGAAACAGTGACGTCAGGGTGCCATTTTAATGACTCTGGTACCATCTCGTGGTATATTTGTGGTATGACATTTGATCAAATTTGTATAAATCTTTATTTATATTTTAAGTAAAGAACATTTTTTCCTTGTACATGTAAAAACAGCCAAATAGTTTATATTAAAACCTTATTACTCTTGAAATTTGGACAGGGAGGCAGCGTTGCAGTCACATTAAAAAGAGAAGATCCCATTGAAAATCCTGTTTGGAGGGCAGAGTCCCTTTGAGTCGTCAGTGAGGGAGAACAGGAGAAAAATCAAAAAATGGCTGAGGTGGCAAAGAAAAAGCAGGAGACTATCAGGTCTGAAGAGGCAAAGTAAACTGTGCTCACTGTATACTTGAAGAGATCAACTCTTACCACAGCAAACCTCAGAGGGTGACACTTCTTCCATCAGGAAAAAAAACAAACATAAATTAGGAGACCAATGAAAAACAGGTTTTGTTCCTCCCCAGTGAACTGCGATTAAGAGCAGAGCAAATTCACTCAACAGGTGGCGCTGTTGAGTTTGGATCAACTAAATAAAGGTTCAAGTAGAGCCATTTCAGGTGTGACTTCAGCTCAGCATCTCCCCCTGCAGGAGGAGTCATGATACTGCAAAAAAAAAAGTCTTCTCCAGGTTTTATGTTTCAGAACTTTAGAAATTATTGTTACAGTAGACTTTGTAGGGGGAAAAAAAAGAAGAAAAAATGACAAACAATGCATCTGATTGTACATTTAAATAAAAACACTGTTGCTGCTCCTCACAAGATGATTTACAAAATAAAAAACTAACAAGATTCAACCGTCCTGAGAACATTCTGGAAATAATAAATACATCATGACCAGATCCCTGGAGCTCACTCCTGTTGACTTGAACAAGTGTATTCTTGTGGTTGTAGTAAAGAATCAGTCCAGACTGTCTCTCCCAGTGGTTCAGTATCCCTGTAGTCCGTTGTAAACCTTCTGTACAGATCCCTGCTTCAAGATACTCCGGATACCTGGAACAACACATACATTGAGGAACTATTAGCAAGAGAAGAGTCAAGTGGTTTCACCCCATGGCAGATGTAGTACAAGAGTTGCAGTGAAAATATGTAATAATTTAACAAATAACTTAAAAGAAACAAAAAAAAAGTTCAACAGGCTCTTCTCTGCCTTTTATAACAACGGTGTCATCTGCAAACATGATCCATGGTGACTCCAGCAGACAAGCAGTTCAAAGCTGATTGATGTTTTCTCACCTTTACCTTAAACTGTTACCCAGAATCATAAAACAAATATCACAGACCAATAAAACTAATTTTAATGTATAAATGTGGACTTTCTGAAAACTATGTCTATATTTTGACATTGTTTGCTAAGTGGTACCAGCCCCCATTTTAGAACCTACTTTGCTGCCATGAAGCAAAGTAGGTTTGCTTTGCTTCATAGCAAAGCACACTCCTGTTGACTTGAACAAGTGTATTCTTGAGGTAGCAAAGCAAAGCAAACATAGGGGTTAGGCCAGCAGCCTCTTCTGGCTCTCGTCTAGTACAAGTCTGACAAAAAGCCATGCACTGAGTAGTTTAACATACCTTCCATGCCCTCCGTTGTCGTGTTGTGTTTGTAAAGATCAGTTTGAGTTATTTGTCAGATTCTGGGTGTGTCTGACAACCCCACCCAGTTGAGCCGTTAGTCATTTGTAATGGAAACCACTGAGTGCCAATGCAGGCCATCAGTCTGTGATCATACTAAGACGTAATGAGAGCCCAGGTTGCTTTGATAGTGGCCATTTGCATGGTTGGGTCTGGTGTCTCGTCTTTCTCTTGATAATGCTCCATAAATTCTCTATGGGGTTCAGCTGGCCAATCAACAGTGATGTCATGGTTATTAAACCCAGTATTGGTGGTTTTGGCAGTGGGGATTCCAGCTGAAGTCGATGTAAAGCATTGTAAAGCAATGATTCCAATCATTGCTCTACAATGTTTGAGGCCGTCGCTGTAACTTGTGCACTTTTTTTTCCACTAAACTTTCCATTAAAATCTTTGCATTCAGGACTCTTAACAGACAGCTGGTTTAGCAGTGACCTTGTGCATCAGGTACATAATCACAAAACTATAAAGTTTTGTGAATCACAAAACTATAAAGTTTTGTGATTATGTACAACATAACATTTCTGAAGACCTTTTTTGTTGCCCTTAAGGAACACTCAAATTTTTCAAGAAACTGGATTGCCACAAATGAAAACTTAAAATGTGTTACTCAACAGGCACAACACCAAGCTTCAGCTCTGTCTTCTCACCATCTTTCTGCTGATCATCAAGTTGTGTTTGAGGAAACTCCACGTCGAAGGTGATGATGAGGGAACCTCGGATATTGATGTTGTCAAAGTTCGGCAGACCCTCTCCTTTCTTCCACATTCGAGCTCCGGGTTTAGTGATCTTGTCTCTCACTATGTGAACCTGTTAATAGGTGCATTCAGTTCAATTCCTACTTTCAATCATCAGAATACCTTCTTTCACCAACTTCAAACAGTGCAAGGTCTAAAAAAGAAGGACCTTGTGCCCGTCCAAATGGACGATGTTCATCTCGAAACCAACCATAGCCTCAACCAGAGAGATAGTGACATTGGTGTAAAGGTCGTCTCCTCTGCGTTCAAACACCGGATGTCTGAAAGAGAAGACCAAGTCAGAAATCAGCTCCCTACACACTCATCTCATATTCATCAGTAATGAAAGCTGCTTCATACTTTAGCACTTTGATGCGGAATCGCAAATCTCCAGGCTCGCCGTCGATGTGAGGTTCACCTGAGGTCCCAGATAAAACATGAGGAACGGATGATAAGACATGAACTAATAACCCTGATTAAGCTTTGTGAGGATCACCTTCTCCAATGAAGGGATATTCCATCTCATCTCTCACCCCCTGTTCAATCTCCACTTCCAGGGTTCTCTCCTCATTCACCAGCCTGAGGTGAGAAAACATCATGTTAGAAAGGAGCTTACTAAGACTCACTTAACCTTCAATACAAGAAGTAATAGACAGAGTTCCACTTTATGATAAAGTGGTTAGCAGCAATTGGTCGTTTACTCAGACAGGACACACGCAATAACTAGTGGTGTTCCAACTACAACTTTCTGTCCGATCACCAATGTTTTAAAAGCTTGGCCTGCCGATTCTGATTTTGTCAACACAATAATATTAAAAGTGTCTAACTAAAGATGCCAAGTTAGCTGCAGGTGGAGACATGATGTGGTGGGTGGGTTGGTCAGTTACACCAGAGCAAATGGACACAGTGGTTGACTTCCAGGTCTTTGCAGAGGGAGATAAAGTCGTTGTGTCATGACTACTGGCCAATTGCAGAGCTCCCAAAATTACGGAAATCTGGACTGATTTAATTGTTGCGCTTTTCTACATTTAAGTTCATGTAGAAATAAATATTTTTGAAAATAAAAACAGACAACAGTGCAGACACCTGGGTTATATTTATGTCAAATGCTTTCAAGTCATGTCAAAATTTGTAAGTGAAATTTCATTCTCAGTTTGTAGAAAAACCTTGATAAAACAGGGCATTATTACCTCTAAAGTAAAGAACACTGGGTAATATCAGCCTGCTCGTGTCTTTTCACAGCAAAGCTGTAATACATTACTAAAAGTGTTCACTCCATCATTTTAAAAATAACTGAATTGAGGAAATCCAATTGCTGGTCACACCTAAGCTGCTGCTACAAACAAGAGAAATACAATAGGTCAATTTTAGCATGATACTGTGGCAGGATGCTAGCTAGGTAACAGATACACTGGTAGCATCCTTTACACCAAGACTTTATACCTAAGGGTATAACACATGTTAGTGTAGAACTTTACAACACTCTGGAGTGGGAAATCACACTTCTGTCTCAGTTTGGTAGTTGACAAATCCAGAAGAATGGAACCTGCCTGTCAACACTGTGCCAAATGTAGAGTTTGGTGGAGGGGGTGTCATGCTATGGGGAAGATTTTCACAGGATGTCTACAGACCCTTACCTCCAGTACAGAAAAACTTTTTTTAGGCCTAGGAAGACATTTTGAACAAGATTATGGTCCCAGCTACCTGAACAGTTTGGTGATGACAACATGACTCAATACCGCCACACAAAGCAAGGTCAACAAAGACATAAACGAACAAGACTGGTGTGGCAGAACTCAACTGGTCTGCATAGATTCCTGACCTCAACCCAATAGAATAGCATTCTCAACTTGGGAAAATAATGTTTACAAAGGATACAACAAAAATAAGCTGCATCATAATTTCAGCCTGAATGACTCCTCCCCCTTTTTAATGACAAAAAACTCACTTGACGTTCGGACACTCGTCGCACACCGTCTCCTGAGTCATCTGGAAGCGGCCCGGTCCGAGCTGCGTCGTCCTCATCTCCTGTCTGCAGTTGCACTTCCTTTTACCAGGAGCTTCTTTAGCTACAGGCTTGTTCCGCACAACCTGGCAACAAAACAGTTTCACAAGGAATCAAAAATAAAACAAAAATACAGCAGTAAACTCCTATGTTGTTCTACAGACGGTATTAAAGGCAATTCTGGAATATAAGCACAAGCTATTAATTCAGAAAGGAAGCAGTTCTCCATACCTCCACAAAGTTTCCAGAGTACACCTCTTCCAGGGTAACCTCAAGGTCGAGGACTATGTCATTTCCTCTGGGGATGTTCCTATCCTGCTGCTGCCGATTTCCTCCAAACATGAAGCCAAAATCACCAAAGAAGCTTTGAGGGCAAAGAGGGTGAGGAGAAACAGTCAGTGGACATTTAATTTTAAAAACACCAGGGGCCTCATGTATGAAGGAGTGCATGGTTTTCACACTAAAACTTGGCATACGGACAAACATGTGGCGCACAAAAAAAAAAAAAAGAAATATAATGCTGTGTGTACGCACATCAATGCTCAACTTTCCATTATACATCTGCATTCGCAGGAAACAGAGCACTGCTGTTGCTCTGCCTTTTGCCACTCATAAATATATCTTAATGTAAACTAGTATAAATACCCAGACATCTGCCACTACGTGAAGCAATAACCATAGCAATGTCCTTGTTTGTAGCAGCATATGTTTTTATAATAATAATAATTATATATGTTATGTAAAAGACGCTTTCATGCCACAAAAGGTAGCCTCACAAAAAAATAAATTTTAAAGAAAAAAAATCCAAATAATAATAATAAAAAAACAAAAAAGAGATCAAGTGCAAATTCCTGTTTGAACAGCAGAGTGTTCAGCCGGGATTTAAAGACAGACATAGAGTCTGTCTTTGAGTGAGGAATGTGCACCAGTAACACACAGCTCCTTCTTTAAGTTTTGCTCAGAGCTCCAGGATGATCAGTGTGGGAAATCTAAACACTAATAAACCATCATCAACATTTCCCAGCAGATCAGTCCATTCAGTTTTTAAATACGCTGACTGGAGTCAGATTTCAGTGTATTTCAGGTGAGTTTTGAGGCTTTGTGGTTTGTTATTGAAAAGTTTGAGTGGCTGCTGCACATGTTCACAGCAGGTCAAACGTTTGCGCAAACTTTCACGCCACGTTCGTTTTGTTGGCGACTTGTGCGTAAAATATGGCGGCGCACATTTTTTGTGCGTACGCATTTATACATGAGGGCCCAGAGTTGAATTTGTGATTCATACATTTTGAACAGTTCTGGACTGAGAGCCTTCAGACCATCTGACATTTATTCAGGTCTAGTTGTCCAACTGCTTGAAATATAGAACTGGTTCCAATTCTTTCTCCTGCTCATAGACCATAACAGAGAAGTTTAATAAAATATCTTATTGTTAATGGTGATTTATGGTGGAACTCGATTAAAACTTTTCATGCTACTGCATTTTACCCCCATACTAACCAGATCCTTGGAATATCAGAACTAGTACATTAGCAAGACTACTTTTAGAGCCATTTGGATCATTACTTTTGACTGAAATACTTCTTTATGTTGATAATAAAAGATAATCCAGTGATTTCTAAAAAGAACCACAGCACCAACCTGGAGAAGATGTCATTATGAGAACTGTGATGACCTTCCTTGAGTCCATCTTCTCCATACATGTCATACTGTTTCCTTTTCTCCTCATCAGACAGAACCTGGATACAAAACAGCCAATCAACTTCATAGTAAACACATGCACTATGAATGTGTCATGCACCAATATTTAGAGCTTTTTCATATTTTAAGGTTAACATAAAATTGTTAGATAGGTTGTAAATAAGTGGATTGTTGAAGTTGGATGCAGGATCTGATATTAATATCTGCATCAATTTATCAGCCAGCCAATTTATTGGTGTTGATTTCCTTAATTTTGGGAGATCTGTGATTGGCCGATCTTATCCACCAATGTTATCAACCTCGGAAAAGGTCTAAAAATCAACGACTTTGCTGTTCTTTTCTCTCGAGAGAGGTTTGACTGACAAACCGGATGACCAGGTCATGTCTGCTCAGTCACAGTTAACATTAGCCACCCCTTTGTTGCTAATTGAGCAACTTTCTTGATATATTGAGCAACATTTCAGACAAAAATATGGTATCGGCCAAAACTGGAATCGGTAACTTAGGCTTTTTAAAAGATCGGTAATCAAATAGGCCACAATACTGCACCCATACTGTGTAATCCTGATATTGAAAACGTGCACAATCCATAAGGACAGACCTCTTCAGTCTAATTCTATGTCTTGCTGTGAGGAGTGTCATGCTTTAGTATTTATTTCTACATTTAGAATCCCATTTAGTATCCCAAATTGCACTTTGTAAACCATTTGAAAGGTTTGTTGGAGTCTGTGCATCATGCAGCATTTTCCAGGCTGCATCAACTACAGAACGTTTTGTGCCTAGTACAAAGTAAAAATAATTATGTCGGATTTTAAATAGTAAAAGGTTAAGCCACATTTACCGTGTCAAGCTTTATTTCAATCAAAACACAGTAAAATCCAAAATATATGAATGAAATCTGATTTCCAAGCTCACAAATCTTAACAGCACTTGTGATTCGTATGAATACTTAAGATATGCTGATCAAGTCAGTAATAAGGTCTTGTGAACGTTTCACACGGAAACACCTGCAGCGGTTAATAAAATCCACTCCCAGTCATCCACGTCTGACTTTTTCTGTCGCCAGCTCTGTTACGCTACAGCCAATCAGCTGCAGCCACACGGTGTAGTCGGCCAATCACCGAGCTTTGATAGTTTACAATAGTAACCAAATAGCAAGCGCACTAAAGACTTTTATAACAAAGCCGTTTGGTACTTTTGGTATAATTATGTTCTTTACTGCATTTCAATTAACTATAGAAACACTCCTGCTGTTGAGTAACTATGCCGTAAAGAGGAAGAGTGTATCGGGCCTTATTCATCTATGACTGGTACAAAACAATAGTTTCATGCTCACCTCGTAAGCTGCTCCCAGATCTGCGAATTTGTCCTGTGCTTTGGGGTCGTCGGGATTCCTGTCGGGGTGTAGCTGTAGAGCCAACTTTCTGTAGGCCTTCTTTATATCCCTGATGGTTGCTGTCTTACTCACCCCCAGGATCTTATAGAAATCTCGACTACATCAAAGAGAGAGAGAGAAGAATGGGAAAATGTTCATCATTACATGGACAGAAACACACCGAGCTCTGCTGCTAATATTAGTGGCTTCCAAGTCATTGAAGCAGGAGTCTGCTAGCTAAAGTCTCAGAGGAGACAGGCTCCCTACGTGTGACTGCTAGCTCCATGCTAACTGAGCTAACTAAACCAAAACAAAACATGACCGCTAATAAGCACGTTGGGCTTCAACAGCATAAAAGGGCTCGTCGAAACAACAAAACACCTCTTGGAGGTTCTGCTCAGAATATCAACCTGCTCTCCTATACACATGGAGAGACCCGGGTAGACCAATCACAGCTAAACATGTGTACCTGCTGGCGGTGCCGTTTCACCGCTGGGTCGCTGCTTCTGCGAGCAACACCCGCTTACCTGGCAAGTACTGCCGTGGTGATATAAAGTAGCAGACAGCACGCATTCCAGATGTTAATCCCTTTCTTAGCCATAGATCCCCGGAGTCACGAAGGAGAAGATACAGAAGGTACTAGCCGGCTTTTGAAGCTCGGATCCCGCAGCCACTCACAAGCCTTCTTCCTCCTGTCAGAGAGAGCCCTCCCACCGCGGCGTGTCCACTAACTCCGCCCACATTTAAAGAAGCTCCAGCTGCTTGGACCATGAGCCAAAAGAGACACAATGCAATGAATCAGTGACATCTGGATATAACTGGAAACATATATGCGTTTAAAAATTTATGTGTTATTTAGAATGATTGAAATATAAAATTATTTCTAAAAACTTGTATTCACTGTATTATTTATTCTTGCATCGAGAATAAATAACCTCGATGCGGTTATTTATTCACTAAATAACCGCATCGAGGTTATTTAGCATCAATTTAATGAGCTGTTTAGTAGTCTGTGTAATAGAAAATTTGCTGTTGGCCTGCAGAAGTTGAGGTCAGTATCATTTACTGTTATCACAAAAATTATCTGAAATAACCCATGACAATTAACGCATACCTAACTGCAAAAAAAAAAAAAAAAATATCCTGTTGTCACGTTTTTAATTACATTTTAAATAGTGCTTTTTTTTTTACCATAATATATTGTAACATACTTCTGAAGTAAATACCTTGTTGCTGATTCACAATCTGAAAATTAATATTAAAAATATTTAAGATTTGCACACTATTACAAGATCTCTTTAATTCATAAATTATGTAATGTAGTTTGATTAGAAAGCAAAATTAAAAACAGTCATTTTAATTTATTATTGGCTCACTATTTGATAATTAAACCAGAGGTTGTTCACGGTCATAAAAAAAAAAAAAAAAGATCAACAAGCAAGCTAATGAGCTCACAATTCAGTGTGGATGCAGTTTCAGAAGTGATCAGTTCAATTCAGTTTATTTGTATATTACAAAAAATAAATAATGCACATAGTTCATTTAATCTAATCAGACAGTCAAAAGTAAATTACACGAATTTTACTTCTGTCCTCATTCTTGAACACAATCCTGCAGTTTATTTTTCAGCAGGAAAAATAAACAGTCAGTTCATTTTTCCTGGTGATTTTTAGAATGAAAAAAATCCAGAGTTATATTAATTTGATATTAACGTCAGTGGTGCTGATGTGACTAAACTCAAGGGGCCGTATGAATCAGGGTCCTCCCAAGCCTTTGTCAGGTCTTGTGGAAAATTCTGTTCCCTGGTGAAAATCAAACGTACAGGACTTGATGAAGAGGGGAATAAGCACAGTTTGTGAAAAAAAAAAAAATCTTCCCATGTTCTGGAGGGGAAACTGATTATTTCAGGCAGCTAAAAATAATTAGTTCCCCCCTTAGTAATTTTGACAAATAATGATCAAATTTATATTTACAGGACTTATTGATCATGAAGAGAGGAATGAGCACAGTTAAAGAGTCTGTGAAAAAATATAGAGGGGGAGCACATCATTTCAGGTAGCTAAAAAATTTGATTCCCCCCTCATAACTTTGGCAAAGAAAGCAAATGTTTTCGAATGTTCAATGATTGTGTGATAGCATGAATGAGCCACCAAAAACAAACAACTAGAAATTTCTTTTATCTAGCGGCCTGCCATATTTTACATTAGGACAGGATTTCCCAGAAAGCCTGCACTCTCATTTTTTTTGAGGAAGTCTTGATTTTTCTGCCATGCTATCAGCCAGCTTCAATCCTGTTATATCATCAGCCAAAGATTAGTAATACACACAACGTGCTGGAAACTGACTGACTTTTAATTGTCAGGCTTAAGTGACAAAAGTTGGAGAAAGACTGATTCTCTTGGCCTTTAAAATAACAACACAAAACAGCGTAAATAAGACCTTGTTTATTTATTTATTTTACAATTCTGTTAGCTGCCGATTAAACAGAAAGTTACAACCTTGACATGATTATATGAGTTGTTCTATCGAGAAATCGATCAGAAAATGGTAGGTAGGTCAGGAGGTCCGCCAGGTCGTCCGTCTGCCAGCCACCTCACCTCCTCTGGGTGCAGTGCGCGCTCCCGACACCTAGTGCTGCGCGCGCTCTCGAGAGTTGCGCGCGCGACGCTTGTCGGGAAGGGAGGAGGCGCCAAAGAGGAAGAATATACAATTTTACTGAGTGTGTGAATGAAAACAAACCGTGACAAGTATACTCGGAACAACAGCGTTCGTCCCATGAAACCGTGACCCAGCAGTTTATTCTCCCGGGAGACGGAACACATCGTTTCCCGCGAGGGAAAAAGTTCGGAGGTAAGAGCGCTCCTAGCTCTGTTAGCCAGATGTAGCTAACATCGGCTTGCAGCTGAACTTTAGTCAAGTTTACTTTTCGGAAAACAAATTGGCTGTCTTTTGTTTATAGCGTCACGAAAATGTTTTATGATTGATTTGTTTAAGTTACTCTCCACTGTGGAGCGGCTAAACAAAGCTGCTCAGGTTCGGTCGCCCTATGAAGAGATGAAATGTCAGGTGTGGATGACACCAGCAGTTGTCATGGGAGCAAAGCTGGGGAGACATCTGTTATGTTCCACATCCAATTCCACCGTCAGTGTTCAGACTTCAGGCACAAATAAGTGTTGCCACTTTTAGAAGGAGCTCAAAATCTTTGATGATGATCATGTTCAGAATAAACAAGGATTCTTGTTCTTCTGGAATAAGTAGGTGTGCCTACTCTGCAGGTTTTCATTCCAAAAACATTGCAGATATAAAATGTAGCTGCAATGCAGTTAAATCAGCAGCTAGTGAGGATATATTTAAAGAAATATATTGTAAGAGGGTTAGATAAGAGTTACAAATTGATATGTTCTTGTGGACTCTGTCATGCACTGTCAAAGTAAGTAAATCTGAGCTTTTTATTTCACAACAAAATTTCTAGAAAGCTGACTTGGTCTTCGCTGGCTTCTGTCATGATTTAAATGTAACTCCAAGCACAGAAAAACGTCATAGTCATTATTAACTCAATGATTTCTTTGCTGATACTTTGTTGAAAATTAAGTACTTGAATTCAAAGTATGACAGAGGCATACTGTGAATGCCTCTGTCATACCTCTGTCAAAGTATGCCTGATTTGCAAAAAGCAAATCACAAGAAAAACATCAAGACAATATGGCCGAACAACAAAGGGCAAAAAAAAAAAAAAAGTCACATGAGGGTAAAGTGAATCATGATCAGAGTATCAGGATGAAATAACCAGACCAAAATAGATCTGTTCAATGTTAGCTTAACCTTTTACATATACAATTTAGTCTATGTAAATTTTGTTACCATGGGAACAGTGTTGATATTTACATGTTGTGCTATAAATATTTCTCATGTTAAAGTATAGATTCACAATATTTGTTATGAAAGGTGATCATTTCCGTGGTTTGCATGGGCTGCAAACCACGGGCTGCAGGTATATATCACCCAGCACCTATACCGCTTCTATTAACATTTGTTAAAGAACGAGTCTCTGTCAGGGGCTCGGTGAATTCCATGGAAAGTCCAGTCAAACTCCTCCACTATTGAATACTACGCAGACAGCTATTAGGGATGTTAGCAAAGTGAAAGGATGAGAACTTCAGCTGTCAGAAAATAATTTTTTCCCACTAAGTGAGGCAACTTCCTCCACATGGCATATTCTCAAGGTGTAAACTGAACTTTTATGGCTCATGCCACTCTGTTTTCTAGTCACTCTATAAAGACCTGTTTTGTGGAGTGTTATCTGATATTGTTCTCCAACTAGAAAACTTCTGAAACCAATCAGCTGCTTTGAATTTTCAATTCAGTTTAATTTCACAGCACCAATTCACAACAGATATGGTCTCAAACTAAAAATAACTCTGAGGGATTATTTTAAAAGGGGAGGAATTACATATATACACTAAAATGTTTTGATTTCTGTGATTAAAAAAAAATCAGATAGGAATGGGTGATATGGACTTAAAGTTTTATCAGGACATTGTGTGGTAATGAATTTACCTGAAATAATATATTACTTATTTTAGGTAATAGTATAACTGTGATTGCATGGCACAGCAATTAAAGGTGCACAAACACAAATTCTGCTCTTAAAAAACACACTCATTTGTTTGTTATGCATACTTCTTTTTGTGATGCCAGTCAGTATGATATGTATCACTAAAGTGCATACATTAATTACATTTAATCATATTTTCAAATGTATTGATATTTATTGACATACCTTTTTTGAACAAACAGTGAAGAAAAATAGTTAAACTAATAATCCCAATAACAAGGACAGTTTTGTTGTTTGTTTAAATATCGATTGGAATTTATTGTGTCAATGATGAATCAAAATTCTTATAAGAAATTCAAGATATTAAACAATACAATAAATGGCCAACCTTATATTTGAAGTCCTTCAAAAATGTCCTTCAGCTAGCTTTACAGTTATGCCTTACTGCTTTTATTTACCACATAAAATCCCAATAAATATTATGTCTTCCAAGTATCTTCAATGACACGTTGTGGATAATGATTTTAATTGTGTGATTGTGATCATGTGAGCATTTGAGCAAACTCAAAATCTGCAAAAAAGATAATGAGATTTAGATGCATTTCCCTTTACTGGTTTGGAGTGCATCAATCAGATGTTGACTCTACGAATGGCCAGGTACAAAGGTTGCAAACCTGCATGAACCACACATCTCAGAAAAATGGAGAGACTCCTCCCCTCAGAGCTAGAGGGTGGGACTTAGAAATATTTGGGAGTTTCATGCCGTAAGGCACAGAGCTAGCAGTGTATGAGAGCATGCCACCACTCCCATCCTATCTTGGAGCACCTGTGGCCGGCCACTCCAGGCTGACAGTTCTCCCCTACGTTCTAAAGTTTGGGACTGTGATTCCTCACGTCATAACTTATTTTGCAAATGTGTTTCCATCGTCCTTTTAGCACTCTTACACTTTTTAATAAAAGCCAAAAACCACTTCAAACAAATGTTAAATGCTTTATTGTGAAATTAAGTAAGCTATTTTGATGCATGTTTGCCTTTAAATCTCTATGGATTTATTTCACTTTTGTGCATCAAACTCTCCCTCTCCCCTCAGACATGGAGGCAGACAGTGTGAGCATATGGCCACGCATGGAGCCCTTCTTACTGGGTGCCCTGCAGGTG